CACACACACACACACACACATACACACTTAATTTCCAATTTTGTCCTCTATTCAGGTAATTTCCAAATCTCTCCATCTTTAATTATATGCACTTTTATCTCATTTCTCTATGCATCTAAGTCAATACCCTACTATCTGCTTCAACTCCACATTTCTAAAATTATAATCACCTCTTCCTAAATCCAAAATAATTTGTTCTTTCCAACTTCCTTATTTCCATCACCAACACTATTACTCTATAAGAACTTGTTGTGTTTTAACACTTCTCTTGTATTCAGTAAGCAAATTCTCTTCCCAATTTGCCCCCACTGATTCTTCTGTGCCTTTGTTGCTGTACAAATGCATCTCTTTCATTTTCTGTATTCAATCTGCTCTCAACAGTCTCCTTATTAAAGGCTTTAGAAATCGCAAATATAAATTTCTCAATTGGCCAAAGTCCTAAGATTGACCTATTTTTCCCCCTCTGGTGTATTTTCTTACAATGATCTGTTCTAATAAATCACTTTACTGCCCCCACCACCTATGCCTAAACTTCAACTTGGCTTCCTAATCTCATCCATCACTTTTTCTACCAACCCTAAATCTATGTTCTTTATTTAATAGACCTTTTTCACCTTTTAGTGCTTCAGTAACATCACATGTCTGTTTGGATGGCTTTATTTCACATTTTTCTAACTCCTGGACTGAATTCTTTTCCATTGTCTCATAAAGACTATCTTCTACTTGCTTATCTTTCTAACAGGCTTTATAAACAGTTCTATTTAAGGTGAAAAGAACTGTGACTTCTAAACATTATTTTTTTTTTGGCAGTACTGGGGATGGAACACAGGGATTTGTGCATGCCAAACATTCTACCACAGAGTCATATCCCCAGTCCTAATTGTATCTTTCTTAAACTCATCTTTCTCAAGATGGTATAAAGTGCTACAAAACATCCTACTTACCTTTACTCCCCCCATCTTTTGTTTTCTGCAGTGCTAGGACTGAATCCAAGTCCTTGCACTTGTTAGGCAAAGAATTCTACCACTGAGCTATTTGAGATCCTCTTGCTTCATTATATATATAAATAGTATTTATATATATATAAAATTATAAATATATACATATTATATGTATCTAATAATACACACACACTACAGTGCTATGCTGGGGCTCAAACCCAGGGCCTTGCACACACTAGGCAAGTAATTTACCCGAGTTACAACCCCAGCTCAACATTGGTAATTCTTTTTTTTTTTTCTTTTAGAGAGAATGAATTTTTTAATATTTATTTTTTAGTTTTTCGGCGGACACAACATCCTTGTTTGTATGTGGTGCTGAGGATCGAACCTGGGCCGCATGCATGCCAGGCGAGCGCGCTACCGCTTGAGCCACATCCCCAGCCCAACATTGGTAATTCTTAAACTGAGGTTAGCCTTCCAAGAACAATGTAAAGAACTCTGCGGGTGCAGTGGTGCACTACTTGGGAGGCTAAGGAGGATTGTGAATTCACACCCACATGGGCAACAAAGTGAGATCCTTCCTCAATAAAAATAAAGCAAGGGTTGGGGTGGTAGCTCAGTGGTGGAGTGCTTGCCTCACATGTGTGAGCCCGGGGTTCAATCCTCAGCACCAAATAAGATAAACAAAAAATATTGTGTTCCTCTACAACTAAAAATAATAATAAATAATAATAATAATAAAAAGAACAAAGTAAAACAAAAACTCTTATAGTTCTACACATAGAAATAAAGAGGAGGGCTGAGACTGTGGATCAGTGGTGGAGTGTTGCCTGGCATGTGTGAGGCACTGGGTTCAATCCTCAGCACCACGTACAATACAAAAATAAATTAATTAAATAAAGGTCCATTGACAAAAAAAAAAAGAGGAGAAAATGATAATACCCTAGAAACATCAGTGAAGAGTGTTAAATGACACAATGTCATTGAGATAAAGGTCAATGCTACCTCTGTCTACAATCTTATTAATGTTCAAGCGATGCCATGAACAGATCTCTGATAACCCTTAATTTCCCTAACATTTAAGAAAAGCCGAGTAAGACAGTCCTTATTGCACAATACTTT